CACAGAATAATCATGCTACTCAGAAAAAAAGGAAAACAGTAGCTGACAAAGGGGAAAAGAGGGAAAAAACTCACTTTTATAGCTATGGTTTCGAAATGATCCTTCATAGTTTTGCACTCCGCTCTGACAGCACTATCGGTAACTTTGTCCCTGACTCCTTGATAGATACACGTGGCCACAATAGCGGTGTTTAGAGGGAAATTACAAGTGTCCCACAAGTACTTGGCCAGGTTGTTCCTCCGGGTTAGGATGGCCCAGATCAGCAGTTCGAGGTATGGGTCCTGTAAAAAGGTGCAAAATGAAGTTAGGAAAAAAAACAACGGTCTTCAGAATACTTTATTAAAATGTTACTATTCTATAGATACTTATATTGTTACTAATTCACATGTTATTACTGTTTAATCTAACGGAACTATGATAAGAAATATATAGGCCTATAAGTGTACTGCTTTCCTAGTACGCTCCTACCTTCTGGAACTTTCGCTCGTTATCTACATTTCTCCACAGTGGCTCGAAGATTTCCACTGACCTCAAACGTAATTTTGTTAATCGTCGAACAAAAGTTGAAGAGGCTGTTCGCGTCTCGGTAGTAGCGGTGCGAGTGGGAGCTGACGACCTGCTTCAGAAATTTGTGGACGTCGTTTAACTTCAGTGGTTTGTCGTCGCTCCCGTGTCCCAGGAGTTCCCGAATGTGTGCTTTTGGTTTCTGAAGGGAGGGGGGAAATCAGGGGTGGTAATCACGAAAGGTCTTCTATTATATGTAAGACCTTTTTGCAACGAGGCAGATCATAGACTTCTTTTTTTTTTTGGTCTAAGACCTTTCGTGAATACCGCCCCTAGCCTGTATTAATTTTTCTTTTCGTTTTTATTTGCTTGATAAAGACGGTGGATCTGAGACGTCGAGGATGATTGGTTGAATGCAACATGTTCGAATAAAATTGTTGTTTTAAATAATCATTAACAGCATGTTAAGTATTGAATCACTGTCACCACCACCATGTCTGTTATTGAATGGCTATCATCACAAACATGTCAACCTGTCATCAGTAACAAAATTGCCAAATGTATCGCCTCGACAATATTAATGACAGTAATGGTGATAATAATGAATATAGAATATCAGAGTATGCTGTATTTGTGAAATTTTGTTGTAAACTAGAAAGAGGAAAACGTGTAAATGATTAATTTACTATGTAGGTATGTTACCTTACAAAAAAAAAAAACCTTATATCTCTAGGAAAATCATGGAACATATAACATCAGCGAATAATTTCCAACTTACAACTGTCACATGAAAAAAAAAAACTATATGATATATGGCTTCACCTTGATATTGAAGTCCCTACTCTGTCCTCATTAAATAAATATGACAACCCACCGTGAGGTTATAAAGGCTCCTCAGTTCCACCACCGTCAGGAAACTCGACATCACAAATCCCCACGTGATTAAAAGATCGACAAAATCGACCTTTTCCTCCAGCAGCGCCAGTCTCATGACTTCACTCAAGTTGCCGATCTCTGAAACATGTTTTGAGGTTCGACTCTTTTGGATGCGATGGTGAAAGTTGCGGCGAAAGGAGTAATAAATATTTAACTTCAGAATCATTATGCGTAGAATTGTGAAAAAGAGACATGTATCTCTCTAGCTAGTGTATAAATATTCCCGCGCTTCGCCATTGCATCGTTGGACAAAGAAAACATCGAAAGGAAGAACGGAAAAATACACGAATATGCCCATATTCGTGTTTATTTGCATACACGTATGTATATGCATGTACAATATTAATTTAGCGAATCCATTTTCTAATTATAAAAACTGTATCCTCTAATTTTCATACGTTTAACTTCCCTTCAGATTCTTTTATCTTTTATCTTTTTTTTTATTCTCAGATGCTCACCTGCGTTCAGGCAACTTTCGGCCACGTCAACGCGATCCCACTCCAAGGCTAACCTCAACTCGTCCGCAGGGTTGGCTTTCCCTGCAGGATGGGAGAGGAAAGAGAGAGGAAATGGTCTATGAAAACACATATGTAACAGAAAGAATAATAATTTTGTAGGGTATCCCCATGTTGGATAGAAAAAAAACGCGGTAAATAAATCTCAAATTCCTAGTTTTTATTTGCATCTTTTCTTGTGGGTAAGAAAACGTTAGCTGAAAGTGGGAGCAACTTCAGTAAGCAATTATCATTGATTTCTCGGTTGCTAAATATTCAGACAAGCTTCTAGGTCGTTTGATAAGGCTATTACCTTCAGAGCTGTATAACTATTGAACTTTGCACCGTTATAAAATATTCAACAGACCACCTACAGTTACCTGTTCTGAGTGCAGTGAGAATGGATTTGTCTAGGCTTGAGTCGGTGTCTATGTTGTAGATTGTTATTCTATTTTCTACCTTGCAACATTCCAGGACTTTTTTGGCACATTCCTGGGCAAAAAAAGAGGGGGAATTTAGGTTGATGCGGTATATGACAAGAGGATCAGGAAAGTAAATTTAAAATTTTATGTATCTGTTCATATGATATATCATTAAGCACACACGCACACAAACACACACACACACTCTCTCTCTCTTTCTCTCTTTCACTCTCTCTCTCTCTCTCTCTCTCTCTCTCTCTCTCTCTCTCTCTCTCTCTCTCTCTCTCTCTCTCTCTCTCTCTCTCTCTCTCTCTCTCTCTCTCTCTCTCTCTCTCTCTCTCTCACTTACCATGCGCTGTTTCTCGTCTAAATCGTATATGTACATTGGCACCTTAGAGAAAATAATCTGAAGCACCTCTTCTTCCTCATCGCAGCTGGAGAATTAATAAAAAGACGAAAACTAGGAATTAAGGAGCAACGTCATATCATTCAGAAAAGTAAGAAAAAATAAACAACATTAATATAAAGAAAGGACATAAATTAATAAGAAAATATACAATCACAAATACAATACAATCGTTTTAGTCAATATTTTGAATAATTATGATATCCAATCCAATCTGTCGTTAAGTGTATCTTCGCCTCGATTAATATAGATAAATAAATAAAGAACAAAGAAGCATTAGTTAGCAGTAGTAGTAGTAGTGGTTGCAGTAATAGTAGTAGTTGTTGAAGAAAAAAAGAAGAAAATTTTTGCTTCTTACTTCCGACTCGATGGTAAATAACCCTCTGTGGAATCAGCCAGGAGATCCGCCGCCCCGCCAGAGCCCTGCACCACCAACACAGGAACACGCCTCTTCAGGGCCTTCAAGCACCTGTCGATCGCCCTGACCCCGCCGTCGAGAAGCAGCATGATCACAGGGACTTCCAAGCCTCTGGGACTCGGTATGTGTAGGGCTTCTTCGAGACGCGTCCTGGTGGGAAAAGGGTGAAGGTGGGGAGGGTAAGTTTGCAGAGAGAATAGCAAAGTAACAGTAGCAAAGTAATAATTATACTGATAATAATAATTGCAATATTAGCAGTAACGATGGGTATAATAATAATAATAATAATAATAATAATAATAATAATAATAATCATCATCATCATCATAACAATAATATTAATAATCATCATCATCATAACAATAATAATAATCATCATCATCATCATAACAATAATAATAATAATGATAACAATAATAATATAAGTGAAACAATGAACAATCAACACATCCAAATAAATTTACAGTATCGAAAAAGAAAAGAAAAACACTTTCGTTCACTTAGTCACCGGAAGGTGTCAACCGAAGCGAAGGCGGGAGAGTGAAGCCCGTTGTCTACCAAGAGGAAGTGAGTGTGGTCGCTGTTGAGGACCAGGTCGCCATCTTGGGCACAGGTGGGCGATTCGTAACTGAGGGGTGGACAAAATATATATATATATGTATATATATATATATATATATATATATATATATATATATATATATATATACACACACATATATATATAAGGATGTGTGTGTTTTATGTGTGTGTGTGTGTGTGTGTGTGTGTGTGTGTGTGTGTGTGTGTGTGTGTGTGTGTGTGTGTGTGTGTGTGTGTGTGTGTGCGCGTGTGTATCTGCGTGTGTGTGTGTGTGTGTGTGTGTGTGTGTGTGTGTGTGTGTGTGTGTGTGTGTGTGTGTGTGTGTGTGTGTGTGTGTGTGTGTGTGTGTGTGTATGTGTATCATAATGGGTAAATTTGGTAGTACAAAATTACTTACAAATGTTTTTTGTTTCTGTTCTTCACATTTGTGTTCAGCATACTGTCCTTGTTTTTGCAGGAAGTATAGGAAGTTACCCCGATGCATTTAATCTGGGGCATCTGGCGTCCATCGACCTGGAACACAGAAAATATTAAATACCGACACACACACACACATTCTCTCTCTCTCTCTCTCTCTCTCTCTCTCTCTCTCTCTCTCTCCCTCTCTCTCCTTCTCATTCACACACACACACACACACACACACACACACACACACACACACACACACACACACACACACACACACACACACACACACACATACACACACACACACCTGTCCATACCTCAGTTATAGTCTGCATCTGGCTCACTGTCTGCCCCACCACCTTCGCTAGACCAGAGTCACTTCCATCGGTCAACAGCCAAGAATTCGTTGATTCTACAGTCTGTTCCGAATACATCAACGAAAAAAAATAGACCGAAAATTTCTTTACAGGATAGTGTAGGTTATTTTGCGTGACTTTTATCTCATATATGGCAAATTTAGCATACTAGGTTGTTTAGGTTATTTAGCTGCAACTAAAGAGAGAGTATTCAGTGAAGAGGTAATAAATGTGGGATTCGATGCATTTATGATAAATAAGCATATAATATCATAAATATTCATAGCTTACGCCTCTATATACAATCTAAAATATCATAAACTACGCAGACTAACACCATTTTTTATCAAATGACGTTTAATGCTTTGCTATTTTTTATTCATACTCTCAGTAATAGGAGCGAAAGTCGATGATGCAATAACTCAAGGAATAATTATATAGAAAAATCTTTAGCTCTGCTTTAGACTAAGAAA